TCTTCACGGTTGAGAGTATCGATATTTCCGAGAGACTGGACAGTAGAGAGTCAAGGAGTCGACGTTCTGTCCATGGGGGGCTGCCTCGGGTTTAGGGGGGCCCTGGGTACCTCTGCCACTCGACACGGACACCCGCAAAGGTTCACCGATTTTTATGCAACTACTACGAGAAGAATTATCGACGCACCGATGATCTGCGCGGGAACACACTGGGGGGGTCCTCACCTTGGATTCAAGAGAACGGGTTAATTAATAGTACGCGATGTTGATAGTACTTTAAACTACAGCAGCTACTATACCACGATATATTTCATATGAAAAATTTATTAATTTACCTGTTCTAATAGAAAATGCGCAAAATCACCTGCATACGCTGAGAAAAAAATTCTTTTGTCCAATATATTTATTAACCACAAGAAATATATTTGAAATATATTTGAAAATATATTAATAAATCTTACAGTTATGTTTTGGCGATTACCAAAGTTCCTGCAAAACGATTATTATTTTTATTATTATTTTATTTTAAAAAATATGTGCACATGTCTGATCGAACACCTGATTTCCACTTGGTTAGTTGATCTGACTGATTACAGTGATTACGATTAATACACGTTGGAGCTCGATGTTTCATCTTGAATGATAAATAATTGTTACTATTTCCCCACTTCATTGAAGAATTAACGAAAATCTGGTGGATAATGTTGGAAATTTTTGATAGATGTTGTAGAATCGGTGACTTTTGTTTTTGAAAATTGAAGGTTCTCTTTTTATCCCTCGATTCCTCGAGGATTGGTAAGTAGTGAAACAAACGAGGGTGCCTAATCAACCCACCGTGTATTGTATCATCAAGTGAGAAAAGGGCGAGTCTTGTGCTCTCCAACACTTGAGCACGAGCCGTGAAAAAACGAGGTGGAAACAATGAAGGTGAAAAACACGTTTCTCAGGGGAATTTTTTCCCTCATTCGCTCAGCCAAGTGTAGTCATCGATCCGCGACCCAAAAGGTTTTTTTTTTTTTAATTGCATGTCATCTTCGGGACAAAGGCCAAAAGTAAACGAAAAGAAAAAAAAAATACCAGGTTTTTCCACATTTTTTTTTGCTGAACAAGGGAGGTAAAGAATTAACTACGAAATTTTCACCTTTTTCTCGGTACCACGGTGAACTTATCCCCACAATTATTCATATTAAAATTCACGAGCACCCGTTTGATCTTGAGATTGTGCGCAGAATCTGAAAATGTACTTTCCTCCATCAAGAACACTCATGCGGCAATGCCTACTTATCAAATTGCTGGCGTGCCATACAGTGAATAGTGTGCGACAATGCCAAGACTCCTGAGGGAGAAGATATTCATGAAAATAACAATGGGGAAGATTTTTATTATTGCTGTTGTTTCTTTTGTCGTTGTATTTTTATTATTGGTGTTATTCTAGCTCTCGTAGCTGTCATTGAGATTATGGAGCAGAGCATTAGATAAATTACTATAAAAAAAAAACTTCAAAGAGAAATTAAATTTCTGTGATGCAATGATTAATCAATCGACCTACCCCAAAGGTACGCAGGGATGAATATTAAGTAAAAATTACTGAATTTACGGAATTACCAAAATAATTAATTTATTTTATACAACAGATGACGTAACAGAGTACCATGGAAGAGGCCCATGAGGCCCATGAGGTCCAGAGGTACTTCCATATTTTTCAACGACTGATTACTTCCTCTCCAGATATCGACGTGAACATGATTGTCTTAATAAATAAATTTCATCTTACGTCTTGTATTTTTTGGTGTTGTATTTATTTATGATTCCGTGATCCTCTACTGGAATAGTATTGATTTTGGTTTTAGATATATCTCATATCTCTAGACTGGAAATTTTTGAAACGAGACCAGACGAGATCGAGAGTAATGTCGGTTTCACGTGCACCTCGAGTAAAATCCACGTGACTACACCTGGACAATCTCCAAGGGCTTAAGAAGGGCCCTCCTGACATCCACTCGACAATTCACCTATCCAAGGATCTCCCCCTCCGCAATCCTCTCTTTATTCCATCCTGCGTTCTACTGAAAATAAAAGTAAAAATTTTTTAAATCACGTGCGTGCCTTTTTCTCATTTTTTTTTTTCCCCATCTTTTTATTTCAAAAACCCTCTCAACTCTCTCGTCACCCCGCGGGCATATACGAAGGCACTCGAATATTCATAGCCAGGATATATATTCCTGGGTAACTGGCATGGTCGAGTTGATTCTATACTGGCTGCCGGGACTGTGCCGGTACTATGCCGTTTGTCATCGTCAACGTCTCGTTCAAACATAAGAGCGAGTCATCGATTTTTATGTGGAGAGTGGAAATCTCGCGTGTGGCTCGTTTACGAATACGAGTGCATTGTTCAGTGGTACTTGAGTACTCTGATTCTTTTTCAACTATTTTTTTTTTTTTTCGAATTTTTGGAATTTTTACGGGAATTGGTGTCAGCGAGAATTGAGAAATCAATTCGATTTTCACGAGGTATCGAAGAGAGAGAAACATTATTTTAGAATTGAAGAACCTCTCCTGGCCGGAAAATTCATTATTAAAATAATAATTATCGCATGATGAATTATCAATTCAGAGATTATTATGATTAATGTAGGTAATGAATCGATGAAATTTTGATTAATTGAGAATGTGTAAATAATTCATCTCTCTCTGCTTTAAATTACCTCGATGAAATTAATAAAGAGTTCGACTGACAATTTGATTCCCATAATCGTCAAACGATGAGGTCGAAAGATCGTATCGCATCATTACAGTAGACAGGAGCGTTAAGCCGCTACTACTTGGAACCCTCACTTTGTGACCCAAGGGTTGAAAGAGAGAGTTCTCCCCTTGAAGAAGACAAAACTCGACTGGTGCATGCGGTCATGGAGAACGAGGGTGGCCATTCAGTCAGGGTTAACTCTGGATTATCATCAACTTCAGCCTCACCTCCCCACATCTTCATTCCCATATCTTTTCAATACCCTGAGAAAATCAGGAAAATATCTAAATCATATTTACTCCTGACATGTAAATGATTCTCAAGTATTTTTCTTATTGTCTGTTTTTTCCCCCATTCCCGCTTTTAAAAATTTTATGTCAAAATAAATATTGACAGTGCAATAAAAACTTGAAATATAAATTTTCGTACTCGGTATGCTAATATCAATGAGGCATTTCGAGATTTTATTTTAGATTTTATTTTTTATCTCCCATTTGCTGCAGTATTTCAGAGAAACTCTATTTTTCATCCCCACAATCTGTTGTGAAGCTATCGCACTATTTTGAAATAAAATTAAAATGCAGAGAAAACTGAAAATTCCTTGAAATTTTGAGACTTTTTTTCGCGGCACATGTCGGGGGTTCTTTGATCGCGCGGAAGCACTTACCATCGATAATACACGGAGTTATAGAAGCACAAATGGTTTTCGAGGTCTTGTACCAATGGAGAGACGCAGGAATTCATTGTGAATGGTTTGTGAGACTCGGAGAGGTTGGATAAAGTGGTTGAGTGGAACTCTGGGGGCTGTGGAAGAGAGATGAATTTATGGGAAGAGGGTGTGAGCACGAGGAGACGAGCATTACAAACTCAAGGCTCTGATGTCTATGGGGGTAGATCCCCGTCACGGATAACGCTTTATTTCATCAGAATAAGGGCCAAAATTCGAGATAGCACGCAGCGTGCCTTCCATTCTTCGGGTTATAACGTTTGGTTTTGCGGGATGTCTTTTGTGCTCGATCGTGTGAGTACGGACTATTTATTTGACCACATTCTGAGGTCATTCCATCAAACTCTCAAGTGGAACCCAACAATATGTAATAGCCACAATTTATATTAACAATTACTTGAACATCTTGATTGAGCTACAGCTACTCCTCATCTATCAACAAATCCAATAAATACATTGGATGCAATGATTTTTAGCGGATAATTGATAAATCATTAATTGTGGAATAATTATTTGTTTCAAACGGAAAAAATTAAATTTTGTATCAATATCTACCTGCTTGATGGCAGGTAACGAAGCAGAAGATAAGTTTCCCCTCATGCGGGCTATCGGAAGTATCGGCTCGAATGATTTTCACTGAAAGGCCAAAATGACAATAGACTCCCTGGGAAAAAGATGAAGACAGAGAACTATGCGGGTAGCGAAAGGGGTGATGGTAACATGATTTTAGCAAAATTTTCGCCGGTCTCTCTGGTTCTCTACTCCCGGTTTCCTTTGGATGGGTTCTTTGATAATAGAGTGGCTTTTCCACAGTGGATGTCACGTATGAGCTGGAAAAAAAGAGTCTAAAAAGCGCCAAGAATGGGATCCGGATTTTCAGGGTGACGATGGAGAGATGCAGGAGAGAAAAAAAAATAGAAGAAAAGAGAGAACAAGAGCTGCTGCTCGCTATTGTTTTCTCGAGTGGCACTCGCGCTGGTTCAATGCACGCTCGCCATACTCGGCAATGGTACCAGATGTACGCGCAAGACCGACATTCACCACAGGAAATACTTTCTGTCCATTTATTTTTTAACAAAATCAAGACTCAAGGATCAATTCATCACTCATTTCGTTGAGAAATTGTCATCTTAATGATTGTCTATCAGGTGAGAAGGCAAACGTCGGAAATTATATTTCATTAATGCGCACTTCATTTGAGGAGTGACTAGGTGAAATAAATGTTTTAAATCTTGGGCTAGTGGTTTTTTACGTTGGAAATATTTTTCAATCTATTCGGAAAACCAGAATAAATATTGTTATTTATTGGGTTGTGAAAGTTTCGTTTCACTTCACGTTGATTTCAATTTCCATTTCCATTTCCATTTCCGGTTCCAGTTCCAGTTCCAATTCTAGCTCTGCAATTCGGATATTTTCCCACTAATCATCATTTTAATTATCAAAGGAATAAAAGAAAAATCCATGGAAATGATAAAAAAAAAGAAAATGATTATCAAATCTCTTCAAGATAGAAATATCTTTTAATACTCATTATGACAAAAATTGAAATGCTGTGGATAAATTAACAAATTATATAAACACATTCGAAGTCCAATGAATTCTCAAGAAATTGATACATCTACAATATTTATATCTGAAATTCGCTCGCAGAAGTTGTGTGAATACAGGTTAATGCACATTGCACATACAATGATATGCGCATGAAAATAGCAAACTCTCGTTCATAAAAATTTCATCTAAAATTTACAGTCCAATGTCATTCCTACTTGATTACAACGTCAATTGATTCGTCAGTATTGCGACATAAAATCCCTCCAAAATACATGGTGTATCATTGTTTAATATAATCCGATCATTATGTGCAAATTATCCTCTCAACAGAGTATTAATTCCTCCTGGAGCCCCCACCTCCACCTCCTCCGTAGCGTTTGTTCGGCTGATTCTAAAAAATAATCAACAATAATTAATCAATACCGTAAAATTCAAATTTTAATGATTTTAATTGAATAAAAAATTTTAATGAATCCCTTCCCCTCTTGCCTTCCTTGGAATCATATCCAGAATTCTTATGATTGAATAATTCAATAAATAACAGATAATTACCCTCTGCTGATTGGAATGATAGCCTCCTCTATCAGAATTGTGATGATTGCCCCTGTGGCCCTGATAAGGGTGATTCCTCGCTTGCTGATAGCTGTGGGATTGATGCCCATAAGATTTATATCCCTGTCCATATCCCCCACTCCTATTAGATCCACCACCCTGTGAGTGATAATTATTCTGGTATCCTCGATTACCAGAATAACCACTCGACTGGCTGTTGTACCCGGTACCACCCGATGATGTCTGGTATCCACTGGAATACCCTGTGAACAATTAAAAATAAACCATAAGGAATATGAATACTCGTGATAATTAATACCCAACTGACGAATAATGAAAACAATCGACAACAGAATGGAGGTGGTACGTGAGTATTGGAGTCGAATGGTCATACCTAGGAGGGAAACAATACGATATTAGAGTTTGAATTGGAGTGTGCCGGCACGTGTCTCTTATGTACTGTTTTCCATCACGGGGGTGAGACCTTTGGTGCACATATTTGTCAGCATCATGAAACGTCATAACACGCGATGGTTTATGCGCACACCCGTGGCTAATAACAAATTTGTCAAGCGGCAACACGCGTCATCGCCCCTGATTGTTAAATTCATTCGTATGAAATAAGTGGAGTATTCCGGAAAAATTACGGACACTGCGAGTTATTTCGAGTTGATTTTATTTTTAATCTAGAAATTTTATCCTAGAGACCAAACGGCTGGGTTATTTGATATTCCGCTTTAATTCACAACCGTACGGTCAATTTATCGGGGTTTATTGAATAATTGAAAATTAAATTGTCACTGAATATGCTAAACTAGAGGTAAATTGAAATTTCATTTAAACAAATCGAACGATTTTAATTAAAAATTTCCATGAATGTGTGACTGGAAAGAAATTTCTGGAGTGTTTATTTCTTCAGTGCATTTAAATTTTATGTACGAGTATATATTGAAGTGTATTTTTTCCGTGTATGAAAAAACACTTGGTGTTATTATTTTTCGTGTTATCACTGACGCAAACTAATCGCCTAGTTGAGCCCAATAGAGGCAATAATAGGAGGCGATAAACACCGGAGAGCAGGAATATTATTGAAAAGGGAGGATGATTCCCCCGAACTAAACGGTGAACTTTTCTCTCTCATCCCCTAGCCTTTCCTGTAGACTGCAACAATAACATCCCCCTGTGGATTCCAGGCGGGTGGATACACGGCTTCCCGGGCTCGGTGTAATCCTCACCCTCCTGCACCCCCCAAAAACGAGGGGGTAAGAATTTTCTACCCTCCAGCCAAACAGTTTACACGTCGGATCATCCCTCGTTATTGTTGCATTTATGATAATAATGCCCTAAACCAAACGCACGGACCTGCTTCTTCACCAGATAGTAAATTATTGCCTCGTCATCGAACCCCTTCACCTCGTTATTTATCCTTATTTATCATTCGCCAATTAGTGAGGCCCAAATCGAAAAACATCCCAAAATTACAACTGACATATATTTTTCTATCCCGTAATTACACATCAATTTTATATTTTCAAAATATCCTCGTCGCGAAGGATTCAATATATCTGCACTGATATATTCAAAATATATCCGATGTACCAGGGAAATCCATATAAATTCTACGCACATATATACCGCCACAATTCCAATATATATTGCACCAATATATTCCGTATGTATTTGATATATAAATGAAATACATTAGTAGCTGAAAATATTGGCATATATTTTTTCCATTGGGGAAGGTGTTAGAGGACACGGTAAATGTCCAGTGAAGGGGCAAGAGGGCAAGAGGGGAAGAGGGGAAGAGGGGAAGAGAGGAAGAGGGGCAAGAGGGGCAAGAGCGAAGGGAGAGAGAGAGAGAGAGAGGAGAGGCAGGAGGGGATGCAAAGGGGTGAAAGAACGAGGGAGAAATGGGAATTAATGCCCACTCATTGATGCACACAACAAAGTCGATATATAGAGTGGGCACACAGAGAGGAATATACAGTTTGAAGGTTTGGTAGCCACTATGGGTATTGGATTGGATTGGATCGCCGCGTCAGCAATACAAACACTCGAGGTTCCCGATGTGGGTCGGGCGTCTGCCTGGTTTTGCTCCTCTCAAAACCTCCCCATACCCACCCCCCTCCCACCCTCTTGTTTCCCACTGAAATTACATTTTCCCGTTCGTATTCTCCCTGCCATTGGGCCCCGTTTCAATATCTCTCCCATTTTTTTTTTTTATTTGTACCGTCCACCCCCTTGCCGATCCCCCTCCACCATTTAATTTGTCCCTTGTTGCTCAACTTTCTCTCGACTATTCCATTTTTATCGACTATTCCTGTTCAAGGAGATATTTTGTTTTGGAGAGATTTTAAAAAGTCGAGCTTTTTAAAGGAATTTCCATTTAAAAGGCTTTTCACCACTTCAACACTCAATCAAAATCCCACGGAAAATCTTTTATTGCGGGAATATCGGCGTTTTATTGGTTTTATTGTTTATTTATTTATTGGGTTTGCTATGGGGGTGTGTGGTGAATATCAATGGGGAATTGGGATTTTAGAGTCGTCATTTTATTTTTAATAGGGGGAGACATAATCTATGGAAATGACGTATTTTTTTCGTTTCGTATTTTTCTGTTTAAAAAATTGGGGAACTCTGAGATTTTTATTAAATATTTAATCTCACATGAAAAAATTATTTTAAAAATCGGAAATGACCACTGATTGAGGACGAAATCGCAAAATTTCGATTCTATTATCATCTTGGAAAACTCTCATGTTTAATATTACAATTTATTCGATCTAAAAAATCCTGTAAAGAACATTTTATAAATTTTATATCTGAAAATTCACTTCTTCATTGTATGTGCAATATTATTTTTCCATTTGTCTCTCACTAATAAATCCCTGAAGCTATTACCAAGCCCAAATTTCTCTCTAAATTTCCTCCAACCCCATTAATTTTTATAGACCGACTTCCGTGTCGAAAAGTCGTATTTATTCACCGTAACTTACAATATTTACTTATGCATACATTTGAGTGGCTGTATTAAGGCGAGATGTCCCGGTTAAGTGGCAGAGTAGAGGGAAAAGAGTTCTCATTTTTTTTTTTTTCAAATGTCCGTGCAAACTTCTTCAACTGCAGTCAGAGGGGTTATCTCCATTTTAAGGGAAAAAGATTTTCCGGTGCTCGTGTACTTGAAAAGTACGGAAGAGTGTTGAAACACGTATATAAAGTAGTTTTTGTATGGAGCTAGTTAGACACTGTCTCGTAATCCTCATTCGCCTGTCCCTTGTTGTTGTTCAATGCTCGTTATCTCTCAGGGTATTTTTTTTTTCACGTACGTGATGTTCTTCCTCGGAGAACTGAAAAGGGAACGAGACGTTTTCACTCATTCCGCAAGAGAGTGAATTGCTCGAGAGGAAAATGCAAAAAGTGTGCAACTCCTGGAGAGAGCTACCTCCTTCCTCGTTTTACTCTTTAAATTAAAAATATAAATCTCAAAATATATTCGCATCTTCATCACGCGAATCCGTCGTTAAACCATTTTAATCACTTCTGCGAATAATTAATTAAAATCACACATCAGGAGTTTGAATATTGGAATCCGGTGGTCAGACTTGATTTTTATCTCACGCTCGGGTAAAAAAAAATTGTAAAAAAAATTTCTAGAAAACTTTTCAGAATGAATAATAATAATAATAATTCAGAGGGAGTTGCAAGGATTGTTTAATAAATTCGGTTTTCGTGTTTCTGAAAAAGACTCGGTGGAGCCCCTTTTTCACACCCCATCGAAAGCGAACAATACATAAAATGCCGTAACTAATTCCGAGTGCATTTGATGACTACAGTGGGACAATGTGGATTTAATGCATTACGTGGATAGAGAAAAAATTCGAGAGATTCACTTCCCTTTCGCTTTCCCCTCTCGAAATATCACTCGAGGGTGGGTGAAATTTTTTAGGGTGAAACAGATACTTGACCAGCGTTAATTCCCTTCATCTCTCGGACTGAAAGAACATTTGGAAAGCTCGAGTTCATCCCAAAATACATATCATCAATAATGATCTTTAACACTCATATTTAATTACCCAAATGATTGACAACACGAAGAGAAATCATTAATAATAAATGACGAACCTTGCGCTCGCTCATCGATTACAGAAATAATGACAAAAATTTATGTGACGACATAATAATTTGTAGAGAAATAATTACGTCGTAATTTCCGTAGAATTTACCGAAAAAATACCGAAAAAATGAAATTCGAAGAAATATTACTCCACGTGGAATAAATACAGATATATTAAAAATATAAGTTAGACATATTTAAATTAAAATTCAATAAAAAAAAGTGTATCTTAGAAATAATTTTTGGGTGATACGTTTTGGAAGAGTATTGAATTGGTGGAACGAATGAAAAAGATTGGAACGGTGAAAAAAGCTTGAAATTGAATAGCGCCGGTAAAGTTTAATATTAAAAAATCGGTGAGTGCGTCGTTTTCCGCGACCAATAAATTTATCGAGCGGAGTGTTGGCATGGAGACCTGACCGGACAGAGGAGTTTGGTTGGTTGGGCTCGACTGGCGTGTGCGCGCACACATTCACCACCTCCTCCTGGTAAAAAGAGTGCGATATATATATACATAGATGAGAAAGAGAGAGGTAGATAAGAGGGTACTTGAGGATCCTCCAGGAGGCCGTGATGGGCCAAGTGGGGAGGATCTCCAGGGGGATGCTGAGCGACTGGAGGCAGGATATGAAGAGGCAAGAGAGAGGCCAAACCTACCACCCGTTCATTGAAACAAGACGCTAATATTATATATATTTGTGACGAAAATGTCGGCGAGATGAGGTACTGGGTTGACTCTCAGGGTGGAGTATCGATTTCTTGCGGTGATCCAATCAACGATGGCGCCTTTGGTTTAGCTACAGTTGCACTGCGCAACATCTCCACGGTCAGTGGAAAATAAATAATAGAAATTCAAAATTCATGGTGTATCTGCTGGGTGTTGAAGGAAATTCATTTTAAGAACTGCCCAAGCATGAGGAAATGACGTATTCGACTTTTACATCTTCTTCAGCGAGGAGTTGTCTTATGAAATTCCGGAAGACGTTGCAAATTTTAATCCCCGATTTTTAACGACTTTAAGACGAGATGTTATTTATTTATTTATTTATTTGGTAATTTCATTTAACGTAATTTAATATTCAGATGACATTCGGCTGATTATCCATTGATTTTTAATTAGAGAAAAAACAATATAATATTTTAATA